TCACAGCGATTCGGTTCTCTTTATCACCCCACTCCATTTTAATATCACAAAATATTTTAAAATGTATTGGCGCGAAAATGAGAAAACACAATGAACAATCATATAAAAATGACAGATTTCAAATTCAAATGTAATATTTTGTTTATTTTTAATTGTAACAGTATTTATATATATGTATATGGCCACACTATGTATATTATATGATGATGATGTGATGACTGCCTCGGTGGTGTAGTGGCTAGCATGTACGGCTGCACACCCGGAGGACCTGGGTTCGAGTCCCGGGTCGAGGCCCGGGTCGGGCCAAGTTTAGTTATTGAGTCTTTCTGTATAGTAAGCCTCAGTAACAGCCCGGAGTTAGGAAGTTGGCGGTATTTCACCCCCGTGCCTCGGAGAGCACGTAAAGCCGTCGGTCCTGCACCTTAACTCTCACTGGTCGCGTCGAGCAGTCGTCCCACAGGAGTACGAGAGTGACAGGAATAGAGAGTGCTCTTGCGTCTGCGCGTACACTTGAGCACTATAATATCTCCTGCGCAGTTGGCTAGTCTCAATGAGATTAGCCGCCTTGGCCGGAATCGGTCAGGAGAACATCATCATATATATGATGATTAGAACGTAAATACAACTATGAACTTTAAAATATACGTTATTTCATTATGCTATAGCAGGTAAAAAAATGCTATATCATAAATACAGGCGGACGTCATAGAATGTATAAGATTCCACTTTATTATTTGAATTTTGGATAAGGTTTAAAATTTTAAAAAAATATCTTTATATATGTACTTACATAATTATTCCTTCCTACAGTTTTTATAACATGCACTTTTGTACTTGTACACTTGATTTATATGGGATTTTGAAAACTCTGTGCATTCATTGGCTATGAAGGCCACGTTCTGCAATCATCAAAATGCATTAAATTTGTTTTAAATACATCGTTTTAAGTCATCTATACTTAAATAAATACAATGCATATGTAAATATAATATTATTTAACTAGGGCTTTACCTTCGGTGCGCTCGGGTGCGTACCTACGAATAATTATGTATTACATTTTTTTAAATAACTCCATTGGCCAAATACCGAGTAGGTATTTTGAAAACCGTATGAAAATCCATTTGGTAGTTTCTGAGTTTATCACTTACAGACAGACCGATAAACGCGGTAGGAGGAGGTGGGGGTGGAAAGGAGGGAGGGGGGTCACGGCACATGGAGAATAGGATTCACATAAGATATATTATTTTACCATAATACAAGGGCTAGATAATTCGTTGTATAAATTCTTACTATTCATCGTAAAGATTCACCGCCTTAAGTGTAATTAATTACTCATCCATAGCAAATGTTTTTTTTATAAAACCCACAAGTCATCGCCCTCTATAAAGAAACATGTCAATAACAATACACCTACACTCTACATACAAAAAAATATTCTCGAATCAAGTTCTTTTTAACCCCCTACGAAGCAAATAGACGGATGTATCTGTATATTTGTGACATCGTAGTGCCCAAATGGATGAACAAATTTTTTTGTTTGAAAGCTGACTTGATCGAGAGTGTACTTACCTACAAAACAAGAAAATTCGTTCTGCTGTTTACAGGTCATCAGCTCTTTTATTGATGGCAAAAAGGTATGAGCAACGTCCAAAGATCTAATCCATTCTATATTTGGTATTCCGTTACTTCAATAGTATTGAAATGATATGGTAACCTAGGCCTGATGCTGCAGATCACCTGGAATCTGCAATATACTTAACTCTTCTATACTAATATTATAAAGAAGTATAAGTTTGTGAGTTTGTGACGTTGTAGGGGGAAATCACTGGATGTACTGAACCGATTTAGATGAAATTTGGTAAGAAGATAATTTGATAATTTGGTTGCATTATAATGTGTTTTTCCGTGAGAATGAGATAATTTCCCGCGTTAAAAAGTGTCATATGTCACTCTCCAGCCCTCTATCTCCACATAAAAAATCACGAAAATTCGTCACTCTGTTTAGACCTGAGAGAAGGACAAACAAACAAACACACTTTCAAATTTATAATATTAGTGTGGATTAGCAATGTTAAATGTTAGTTTAAACGCGATTGGTCGAGACAGACGTGGAAATAAATAACTGTGTAATAGGAAATATCATTGCATAAAATTTTATTGGTAACAATGACGACAACTTAACATAATAATTATTACTTACTGTATTAAGGAACATTATAAACAAATAATACGTATGTTTGTATATCTATAAACAAAGATGTTTTATGTTAATAAACTGATTATATTTTTTGGGCTAACGACTGGTTGGTCTGACACTAATTACTTGGTCGCCCACCTTGACCTAATCTGTGTAAGTCATCTCGGTTATCTCGTAATTCGTATAAAATGGGATTTTTAATTAGTATATGTAAATAAACAATTACTTATCGATGATTTTCTTGTGATGTCATGTGTGAAGATATTTCTAAAATAAATATACACGTTGATATCTACTATTTACTTTCTATACTTAATATACAAGGGAAATCGCACTCCCTCATCTTTATATATATAATTCTTCTGTGAGTGTGTATGTCACTGAACTTCTCTCAAACGATTGGACCGATTTTGATGAAATTTTTTGTGTGTGTTCAAGGGGATCTGGGAATGGTTTAGATTCACAATTTGAATAATAATTTTCATCAATAAATTATTAAAAAAAGTTTGAAATTTTCAAATTAAAGACGTGTAGACAGGACAACGTCTGTCGGGTCCGCTAGTTAATCACATAATATCAGAAAGAACTTGAAATGTAGCAGGTAGATTCCTCACCTACAAAGGTTGGAGGTTCGTATAAAAATCCATTATTTTTAAAGTTACCAAAATTGGAAGAAATCTATCTGCTTGACTCTGGGGAGGAGGTATAAAAGACAGGTCGCTTATTCTGTATTCTGTCTGTACATTTAAAATTACAATTTAATATTGTCTGACCGTACTTACGCGATCATTAAAGTAATTGGAACCGAACTAATATAATAATTAAATATAATAACTAAAGAGCACCGAAAATTAAACTCAAGTTAGCCATACTTTATATTAATGCCGAAAATTCACAAGATACAATGATTAAGGACAATTACAATGATTAAACTTGAAGTCAAGCGTTTAGCACTTTACTTTTGTGGGCCAAACAAGAATCGTAGCGATTTGCCACTTCGTTGTCCTCTGAAATATCCATTATCATTGGATAATTTACTAATTTTAAAATTCCAATTTATTCCAACAAATGAAACAAAAAATCGTTAGAAATTTCGTTGGCTACTCCAGCTTCTTTTACTGGCCAAAGCAAAAGACCAAAATAACTATACTAATAAGAATATTTAGTTTCCAACAAAAAAACCTACGACTTCTGAAGAAGATGGTCACTAATGTTTTAGACAACCATTCGTATACAAGCAAATTACCTGTTGAATGCAACAATTAAGTAGTCAGTTGGGATTACTGTGTGTATAATGGTAATTTAATAATACTCTTTACTTCACAAAGGCGCTATTAAGTAAAGTCCCATGAGATATGACACATACATAGCCTGTAAATAGCACACACCACCCATCTTGATTAACACTATCTTGACAAAATAGATATTTTTAATGTGAGGGTTTTACTTGAACCTTGAAAGTTTTATCTCTCGTGGAAATTGAAAAGCTCCAAGAAGGTCCTAAAAGATGGAGCGTCCTAATAATTACTCTTTTGGGCTTGGAAAAAATAGATCTCGAATAACACCAAAAATGGAAAATGGGATATTAATGTATTGGAAAAAAATGGAATATTCCTATGTAGGTACATATTATAAACTTTTACAATGATTTCTGAGTTCACTTTAAATTTTAAAACTAAAGTCATCTAAAGCAAGGTACTCAATTATATTTCAAACGTAAGTTCATACAACGTAGATTAGTAGTAATACCTACCGTTTAAAATCACTGCAAAATAATTGCCATCTAAAAATAAAAACAATGATGTTAACAATGGGATTTACAGCGTTATAAAGTAGTATATTTTTATACTTAATTGCCCACACTTCATAATGGTGTCATTAAGAAAACCCCCATCAGATACGATGTCAATGACTAATCTAGGGTATTTTTCGCCTGGTAATTAAACAATATATACGTGTACTAAATGCTCTTACTTACCTAGTTTGATACTTTATTTATTTTATTTTATTCATTTTTTTTCACCATAAGACAAGCGATATACATGTTCAAAATATAAAATTTAAGAAAAATATCCAAATCCAAAAGGGATACTTACAAGATGATCTACTTTTTCAGATGAAAGTAATTGTTAAAAGTAGCATTTAATACTTTAAGTTAAAACAAAAGAAAAATTTCTTCTCTTACAGTAAAATAAGATTTCTGGAAGTAGTGTAAGGCAAAGTTTAAAGTTTTCTATTTGTTTCTGTTTTTCTTGTAAATGAATCATTATGATATATCAAATGAAATAATTAATTAAATTACTGTTACCAGTACAAGGTTTTCCCTGACAGTACTTCATGAGTCAGTAGCGATAGTGGTTACTGAGAGGGTTTAAATATATCGAGAATTGTTACGCCTGGGAATAAATAAGGGACTTTTAGTCATAATGTTATATATTTCAAGTGCTTGCTGACATCAAATTAGACAAATAGCAAACAAAGCAATAAATAAATATGTTAAGACATTAACACATAGCACCATCTAGTTCCATGGTAAGCTACGAGGCTTGTGTTACGGATACGAGATAGTTGATACATTTCACATATATAACCTTTAAATACATACATATTATAAATATAACCACTGACACTGATGAACTTTCGTGCTAATCACACAAATGTACAAATGAATGCCCCCAGTGGGACTCGAAGCCACGACAGCTGACTCAGCAAGTAGGATCACTACAAACTGAGCCAAGCGTGTCGCCAAGTTATTTACTTAAGCAAAACGAATGTATTATAACATATATTTTATTTTTCGCAGAATGTACACAAAAATGCTGAAAGTGATACAGAGACGGTTGCCACCCAGCCACTTTTAGAGCCAGACAAAGGAAAACCAAAGCCACCTCTCGCCGGTAATTATTATCAATAATAAAAATATTAATTAACTTCTGTCTATGCCTTCTTTTGAAATATATTTTTAATTTATATTTGGTACACAAATTTTTCCTAAAAATACTTTATTAAAACCAAATATGATTAAAAAAAGCTTACACTAAGCTTAACAAATAAAATAAAATTAAAACCTATACATTGTTATCCAATTCTGACAACATATTTAAATAAAATTTTCATTTTGATTTGTCACACAGATTTAACAAGCATTTTAGCAAATTTTGGTAAACAAATTACATTTACTTTAGGTCCGGAGATAGATGACCTGGATGGCGACCAACCAACACACACAACTCCTTACCCTGGCATCGATGACGGCCTCTTGGAACCCAATAACAACAAGCCAGATGTCCACGAAGGAAACTCAGGTTGGTGTACCAGTTCTTTAAAGTTTCAAATACCTACCCTGTGTATAAGTATGAACCCAGTTGGTTCTAAGTTCGTTAATTGTTTACGGTTTAGGCTTAATGAGTAACAAATATCTTTATAAAACATTTTTTTTGAACCGAATAAATAGTAATTTATAGCGAAGTTCATACTTTAACTTCACGCCATTTAAATTATTGAGCATGAATCATAATTCATTCCAAAATCATAACCTTAGTCACTTAAAGGTTACGCATTTTCTTCTACTTTACCACCAACACATACATAACAGTATATAAAGTATACATTAGTTATAAGACTTATGGCCGATTTCACCAACGTTACCTAAGTTTAAGGGATCCCCTAAGCATGGTTAGGGGGCTGTTAGAGGACAGTTTCTGTTTCACGGACAGTTAGGGGTCACCTAAATGTTAAAATGCCACCTAAATGTAGGTACTAGAAATACGGGCTCTGACGATGGTAAAACGAAATTTAATGTAGGGGCTAGTTTAGGGGAACTTTTAAGCTAGGCATCCCATACATAGGTGGTAGCTTAAGTGATATTGGTGAAATCGGGCATTAGTTACTCAATCCTTCTATTGCAAAGTAGTCAAACAAATGATTTTGAAGTCGGATTTAGAAGAAAAAACAGACAAAGACATATTTTCCAACACTTACTAATATAACTTACATAACTCGCAACACTGCTAATTCAGAAGAAAGTGTTAAGAACTAGAGATATAAACTCAGAAAATCTGCTTTTCCGTTAATTTAAGATGACAATCTAATACCTCGTAGAGAAAAGTAAATAACTTAAAAAGTCTTATTTTTAACTAGCGACTCGTCTCTATTTACGTTTTAACGTTCAGTATAGATTTATTAGATATAGAGATATTTAAAAAGTATCCTATATGTTGACCCGGATAATCAGCTATCGTCATACCAAATTTCATCAAAATCTGTCCAGTAGTTTTCTCGTGACGCGGTAACAGACAGACAGGCAGACAGAAAAAAATCTAAAAACTATAGATTCGGCCTCTGTATCGATAATAATGTCTATTTTCCAAAAAATGTACAGATTCGATTCAGTTAAAATTTTATTATACGTCCTATAAGTAGAAGTTGCGACGTTTGTCATTCTAAAACAGGGAACATATTATCCTCAGGTCAAAATGGATCCTGGATTTACACTATTCATTCAGATAATATATTCAACGATTTCTTCTAATTTTGAATGTTTTTTAAAATAAATCGATGTACTTTGTGAAAATCCTCATAATTCAACTGCCGTTTATTCATAGTTGACTTGAAGATAATAATTATTGACAAAACAGTGGAAAAAGATACTTTTTGTGGTATACTTGTGGGACTTTTACATAAATGTTGACAGTTCTGTTCAGTGGTTTCAACGGTACAAACCCAACAGATTGACACATTGTTTTAGGTGCATTCTTAGATAAGGATGTGAAATAGTAGGGTGAAGAGCATTGCATTTTATTATCTGTTTATAGGGACTTATCAGAACCGCATGAACCACAGACATTTTGATAACCTATTTAATTTTATACTTTATTTATTATCAGTTATTGCCCGCGGCTGTTCTCGCATTGATTAAAAAAGTAAAAAATGGAGTTTTTTTCTAGTACTTATTCGAGTATATAGGATAGATAATTTTTTGAGTACAAGATATCTTTACCAAGATAAGAAGAAGAAGTCAACTGATTTAAATGTTACTTTTTTTATTAGAAGGTTATAATTTAAAGATCCCGGGAGTTAAGGTTAGAATAATTATTACTTGAAAAGATAATACTAAAAGCGCAGTACCAATTTGTAGTTAAAAAATATAATTATACATACTTATAATAAATCACTATTGAGTTTTATTAATTTTCACTAGCATTGCCCGCGGCTCCGCCCACGTTCAGATGACTCAAAACCAAATTCCTAGGTTTTACATATTAGTATACTCTTACATTGCACTTTTTGTATTTTTTCTCAGAAATAAGATATTTTTTCCGCGGTAAAAAGTATCCTATATGTTGACCCAGATAACCAGCAATCACTATACCAAATTTCATCAAAATTCCTCCAGTGGTTTTTCTGTGATGCGGTAACAGACAGACAGACAGATAGACAGACGAAGATTCTAAAAACTATAGATTCGGCCTCTGTATCGATAATAATGTCCATTTCTATAAGATTTTCTAAAAAATATTGAATGTACAGATTCGGCTTAGTAACAATTTTATTATAATTGTATAGATTTGGATCTATCTAATCCATCTTTGAAAGATTAACATATCGACAACTACTTAGTGCTTATTTGGTCAAACTATCAATAGATACGTCTAGGTGGTTGTATTTTGCAATACAGAGTTTTGTCTCTGATTTTTAAATTAATAAAAACAAAGCTTTATTTCTAAGATTTACACACATGTATAGATAAAATAGATATATTTTGACTTTATAACGTATCTGTATATAGCCAATAGAATTGACATTTGAAAGCCAATAATTCTGTAATAAAAACTCTATCTGTAAATTGGTCGTTTGGACAAACAAGCATTGAGGCAACAATATAATATACATTCCCAATATTTTCCAGATGGCGAAACAAAACCCGAGGGATCAGTGACGCATTCACTCGACGACCCAACACTCCCGCGGGACGACCACGGCACTGAAGACGGTAAATGGCCCTGGCCGCCCACCGACGACACCGACTATCCTTACGGTGATTGGACCACATATACCGATATGCGCAGGAGTTTAAGAAATGCCAGAAATAATTTATTTGAAAGGCTTACAGGAATTATTAGATCGCTAAAGATGGGTTTCTGCCAACTTTATTTAGCATTGGATCATTTTGATCTAAACTGCTGGTAGTAGGGTATTTAGTAAAACATTAGAATTTTATAACTTCTTACTAATATTTTAAAGGCGAAAAAAGGCTTTTATCCCAACATACGAATAGGCTTCTGTGGTTGTTATTTGGACACGTGATATAAAAGTCCCCTATTCAGGTTACCTATAAATGATTTCAAAAATTGAAACGTTCTTGATTCGGGATATATTAAGGCGATTATTAGGTGATATTTTTCACCGCGAGAAAAATAAACCAGTGCATTTTAAAAAGAAATTATTACCATTGACATTTATTTATTAATTAATTGTACAATTTAATAAAAAAACTAAATGTTCTGAAGTATTGTCGAAGACGACGTAAACGGCCGATTTTGATTGCGTTGACTTAGAAGTTTGATTTATTCGCTTTAATTTGAGCTCCAAGGGATTACAGACCTGAGTACCTATTTGATATTAATTTTAACTTGATACCTCCACGCGTTCCTAAGAAAAAGGTCTAGACAGACGGACAGGCGGACAGACGGACGGACTGGGCTCCATTTTTCCTTTTGAGCTAAGGAGCTTTAAAAAATTCAAAGGGAATAACCTTGAACAAAAAAAAAAAACAGTAGGCTGATAATATCGAAGTGTAATTAATTTAGAACTCTATAGCTTTTGTTTGTTTTGTGTCATATTGATAAGAAAAAACATTTCATTGAATCACGCCGAACAAATGAATGCCTGCCACAACGTTACAATAATATCTCATACTTCGAAACAATGGAGGTCGTCCGCTGGTCGTCATGTACCTCATTGGCGCTTTCCATTACTCATGAGCCAGTAGGGACAATACGTTCGATGCTCGGACGAAGCAAATTAAATGAATAAAAGAAAAAGTTTACGATCAAATCCTTGTAAGCCTTTCAATAAATATCTTTTATTTTGAAATTTATTTTAGTAAGACAATTACTTATCATTTTGACTTTGCATAAGTGCAAATATATTTATTAAAATAAACATTCCTGCGCATGTTTACAAACATAAAACATTGATAGTTTACGGTAAATAACTGAAATTGTTTTCATGGAAATTTAATTTGCAATAATAAATTATATATGAGAAATATATGTCGTCATTGGGTGTTTGTTCTCAACCGGTAGACGGTCAAATGCTATTATATAGTTTTATATATGTATGTACTTATTAAGGAAGCATGCCGCATACCTTGTTATAACAGCATTTAAAAAGTCAGTAAGCCTTTTTAATATAAAGCTAGAAACAAACTATGATATAAAAATATTATAGGAATATTTTGTTTTTAATTTTATTTTCATACTTAATAAATATGTTTATGAAATATAGTAAAATTAAACACCACATTAATAGTTAAAAAGATTTTTTTAACATAATATATCGTAGTGAGTATCTAGCTTTTTGTACTTTATGCATGACATACCTAAATAGATTCACTTTGAACTCGTAGAATGGTATTATTACGGTAATGTAAAAGTTACTAATTATAAAAGTTACATAACATAACCATCTTATAAAATTTTCGTATCAAATTATACGATGTGGCAGCCCCGCACGGTTGTCTACCGAGTGTATACCGAACGCGACGCGCGTAGGTATAACTCGATTTCCGACCTTTTGTATGAACATGGAATACTGTATGTAACATTACCGTGGTACTATACTTATCATATAAGAATTCTTAATACATAGGTATCTATAATTTATTAATAGCTCAATAACACCGTATTTCTACCCGATATTTGTTATTTTCCTGTAAAACATTTTATGTTGGGAATGAGTTGTATTACTTCATAATTGTATATTTTGAAATTAGGATAGCTTTGAAGCGAAAGAGCAAGGTGTTCAATATTAGGTTATAGGTATATGAATATACAAGTTTGCGATCCAAAGAATTTGAGAAAAGATTTAAAAAGTTGGCACTTGGCTCATTAACGTTCAGCAATCCATCCGGGCGCGAAGCCAAGAAACGCACTATTAGAGTACGTAATACTGGATTTGCCGATGAGTCCCATATAACCACTAGATAGTCAAGTATATGTGCAGGTAATATGCGTAAAGTAAATGCATTTCCCAACGTTAAATAAAAAATGTCAGACAGTTTTTCATTTAGGTACTTTAATGCGTTCCGTTTACTGATTGCGAGTAGTTACACTCGGTGGTGTAGTGGCTAGCATGTACGGCTGAACATCCGGAAGTCCTGGGTTCGAGTCCCAGGTCGGGCCAAGTTTAGTTATTGAGTCTTTCTGTTTAATAAGCTTCAGTAACAGCGCGGAGTTGGGAAGTTGGCGGTGTTTCACCCTCGTGCTTCGGAAAGCACGTAAAGCCGTCGGTCCTGCGCCTTAACTCTCACCGGTCGTGTCGAATAGTCGTCCCACCGGAGTATGAGAGTGACAGGAATAGAGAGTGCACTTGTGCACTATAATATCTCCTGCGCAGTTGGCCTGAATGAAAAATGAAATGAGATTAGCCGCCGTGACCGGAATCTGTCGGGAGGACATTATTGTTATTTACACCCATGACGTGTTGTTTTACATCAGTACCTATATAGTATGTGATTATGAAAGCTAAAAGACCTACTTCTTATACATACATACGTATTTATAGGAGAATATAAATTAAAATTCCAAGAGCACAATAAGACATATTACCTACTAATAAGAGCTTGCGCTTATATTGCATGTGTAATGAATCTTTTATTGTATGGTATGGACTTGGCGTAGTGTGTACAACATTTATTATGGTATAATAGCAACTAATGACTTGTTTACAATACTATTGTTAAGGTTTAATATGAAATATGTTTGGTTTGTTACGCACTATGCAGGTCATTGAGGATTCCCTTTTGAATAGAAGGTACATATTTTATTGTTATGTAATTATGCCACATTTAATTTTAAATCCTACTTTTATATTTTTATACACGTGAATAGTTGAAATTTTAAACGATATATAATATCTGAATTTACTCGCGTTTTATTTTGCTTTTATGTTTTGAATGCTTTATAGCAACGTGCTCGCGTCAGTGACTGTTTGTCGGTAATAATTATAACTTTAGAGACGTCAAAAACTTTACTCTTACTAAAATATTATTTAATCATGTTTGCTATAAAACATTAAAACGTCAGAACCCAAAGCAAAATAAAACTGCCAAGAAATTCGACAAAATAATTTTATTTTAAATACTTTTTATTTAAATTATCTATATAGTAGTTCACATAAATCTTCTGTCTAATTGTATACATAATTCATAATTAAAGTAGTTTCGGGTGTATGTATGTATGTGGGTACTGTACTGGGTATAGATATTGACTATTTGTCTATTTATTTGGTAAGCTCTATAGCCCAAACGGCTTAATGAATTTTGATCTTTGAGATATCATTATATTTAATTTTATACTCGTCTCAGTGTATGTACTCGTACATAATCTTCAAATATTGCACCTGCAAATCAAAACAGAAAAAAATAAATAAAACCAAGATTTATGTTTATTAATTTGAAGTATTTGTTTCAGATTTTAACAATGGACTTGAACCGAGGTTCGGTATTGACGACCGTCCCATGTCACCTACGTTGCCAGGAGTAAGAACTACTATAATATCTAATCGACATTGTATTCTGCCCTTTTTAACGTCCCGGCACGGGCCTCCCTTCAATACGTGGGGGATTATTTCATATCTAATCGATATTATTAACCTATAACTGTTTAGTAAGAAATATATAAAATCTATTATGTTATATTAAACTAGCGACTCACCCTAACTTCGCTCGGGTTCATCCCTAGCTTGCTTCTCCATACAAAATTTTATCCCCATTCTCACCACTTTAAGGGATGATTTCCGAGATAAAACTGTTTCACTCACTCACTTTTCACATCATAAGATTTAAAACAAATCTTACTTTAGTAAAAAAAAAAAGTTTTTCTTTTAATTGTCTATTTTCTATACAAAGCTTGTCCTGACAATAACAAACACAAAAAAAATGATTATTTTTTGACAAAAAAAAACACAAAAAAAGAATTAACCAATTTGATGCAGTTGATCGAAAGTTATGCGCGTGCATACATTTCGGTGATTCATTTTATATATATATATATATATATATATATATATATATATATATATATATAGAAAATACTTTTATAGTAAAAAAAAATGAAACTTTAATTTCAGAGAAACACGCTTTTATTTGTTTTACTTAAAGTAGCTAATCTATACGGATAAATAAAATTCTAGTGTCTGTTTATAATGTCAAAATAACAGCTTTTTACTAAATGTATATGAAATTATATAGGTTTTAAAGAAAAACACAATTTTTAAAATTTTTGTCTAGCTGTTTGTTCCGGCTAACCTCCGAAACGATTTTAACGGGACTTTCACTGGCAGATAGCTGATGTTATAAGTAGTAGCTATTTTTATGTTATAAAAATAATTTGGGTTCTGCTCAAAAAAAAATGAACCTAAGAACGCACCCGAGCGAAATCAGGGTATCTAAGTCGATACTAGTGTACATATAGATAAAACCCTTGCCAATCCTAATGAGCGTGGAAGTAATATCACAAATAATTTGGATTTTGGACAACGTCCATCGGGTTATCAGCAATTACTAAATAGAAATATCTATTTTTTTTTCTAGTCAATTCCAGACGTGAACACGTACCAACAAAAGAAGAATCTCGCCCAGGGGATGATGGATCTCGCATTACTCTCTGCAAATGCAAATCAACTGCGATACGTTCTGGAATCTTCCACAACCCACCCATATTATTATCCCAGTGTGGCGTTAATTTCACTTAGCATCATATTTCAGGTAAATTTTAAAATTTTAACCACGAATCTATATTTATAAATTAAATTAAAGTTTCGGTCTGTGTTTTCAATCTAAACATCCCAGAGTTACGAGCCCCATACCAAAACCTTAATAATTAAAGAAAAATCATGTGGTATGTGCTTTGCTGTAAATTGTGATGATCTAATAGGTTTATGTCAGCAAATTGCAGAACTGTCAATTTACTGACAGAAACCTTTTGGTACCTATTTGGTAAGTTGGTGATGGCCCTCATATGGGTTATCTCCTCCTGAACTGTGCCAGTGAAAGGAATAGAGTGCATCTATATCTCCTTCAGTCCCCTTGTTCTTCGTAATATACCTACATAAAGCTAAAAAATTAAGTACATCTAGAAAACCTTTATTATCAACTTAAAAATAATATAAATATAATTAAAATCTCACATCCGTTACTTTTTGACATAAAATTATATATTGTTTTTTTTTTTAGGTTGCAGTGGGTATAGGTTTAATTTTAAACAGCCGCTACAACGTCAAAGATGATAAGCACATGTGCATAGCAGATAAAATCAACAATATGACAGTCTTGGGAATATTTCTCATTACAATTGTGAACGTTTTTATAACCTCCTTCAGCGTCGCCACCCCTACTACGGTTGCTAACCAACAAGCTGCTATTATACTACAAGCACAGTCACAAGGATAAAAGAACTTGATTTTTTTTCCTGTTCATTGCACTTTAAAACGTCGCGATCTTTTAAATCTTTTAATTTATAAGATGATCATAGACTACAGAGTGAATATTACTTAATAACACAGTGAAAAACTGCGTTTATGACTAAAATATGGCTGAATAATGAAAAAATATTATAGAAGTGGCATTTCATGCAAGTGATATAACACAGATCTTTATTTATTAACCCCCGACGCTAGAAGGGGTGTTTGTGTCTGCCTGTGGCATTGTAGGTCTCAAACGGATGGACCGATTTCGGTGCGGTTATTTCATTTTAAAGCCCGTTTCCTTGCGGTGGTTCTTAGCTATGTTTGGTTAATATCGGTCCAGCAATGTAAGAGTATCAGCTCTTTTCCAAAATGATGTAAGCCATTTTGGCGTATGATTACTGTTGGCGGATTTATCTCTGAGGCGTCAGGCGACTGCCATTTTGTCAGGTCTTCTGATAGCACCTGAAATTATTCAATAAGATCTCTCAAGTGAAGAAAAAACATAACCTGTAATATAAAAATTCACAATTGTATAGGAAAAAGTGTATTTTTTATAAATAATATATTTTCATAAATAATAAGTTGCAATATTAAAATTAATATTTAATAAGATTTCTTTTTAATATGACAACTATGCTCATTTTCTTCGTTTTGAAATTTAGTATCCTCTTTGTCTTTAAATCAATGATTTTCAATAAAGACCAGTGCTCATTTATCTTTGCTCAGTACCTGCATAAAAAATGTGCTATCTTTTTATATAAAAAATATGCTCTAAATTTTTTACCTCATTATAGAAATTAGAAAATATTGTATATTAATTATTAATGAACACATTGTTTATATAGTTCGTATAATTTGAACGATATTAAATATTGTATCATGGTTACCAGCATTCATGGATTAATCAAATTAATCCTGAATCGAGTGTAAAATTATTTCGAGTTTTTTTTTTTAAAACGGCTAATGTGCGAGTTGCACTCGTAACCGGGGATTCCTCGAGACCAAATAGTATATAAGTGTTACGTATTTAGTAATAGGTCTTTCTATAAAAAAGACAGCCTAAATTATACAAAAAATATATCTTGTTATAGTACTATTTTTTCTTTTTTATTGTTCCGCGGCCAATAGCTGTAACGTAACCCTTATAATTTCGTTGTGGCCGTCTAATTCTATCCGTATGTCACAGCTGTTTTACTCGGAGATTATTGAATTTATTTCTAAAAATCAAAGTCAAAAATATCGATTTTACTATACACAGCTATGCTACTATTACACATATCGAGAATAACTAATATGAATAATAAAAATATTAATCTATTAGAACTTGTGCAGACCCTATACCTAGTGACCTATCGCAGTCCATAAGATACACGGTATACACTCTGAAGACAGTAATAGGTATGCGTATCCTTAAACACAAACTCTAAAAAATATTTGAGAACTAAAAAAAAATTAGTTAAAGTTTAAAAATTGACGTCTTCAGGGATGGAATATTTAAAAGCGCAGATATCGCTTAACAGACACAAAAAACACAGATGAATTTTATACCTCTTCCTTTTCAAAGTCGGTTAATACTCAATAATGAGCCCATTGACAAATATTTTTTTTGTTGCCAACTCCTACATTACGTTTTAAGACTGTCCTGTGTTTTACACAGGTATGCTTATAATTATTTGTAGCTTTGCTTTGTTTGTACAATTTTATGCATTCCATATTGTACAATAAAGTTAATTTTGCATTTACTATTAGAATAAGTAATGAAACTCTATAAGGACACAAATGAATCTGTAATCAAATTGTATTTTCATATTGAAATAAATATTATTTACATATAATGTTTAATTATTTGACCTTCTTTCTTCTACTTTCCAAACAGTTAAGAACATTCATGCTACAGTGGGCAATCTCATATATATCAATAAATATATATTTATTATAATTGATATCAAATTATCAACACCCGATAAGGGCCTATAAAATCAAATCTACACTAGCGACTCACCCTCGCTCCGCTCGGGTCCGTCCCTATTATATATTTCTCATAGCTGCAGTAAAAAGCATCCTATATGCAGACCCGGACAGCTATCATCATACTAAATTCCATCAAAATCTGTCCAGTGGTTTTCTTATGATGCGTTTCCAGGCAGACAGATAAAAAATCTAAAAACTGTAGATTCGTCCTCTGTATCGATAATTATGACTATTTCAATAAGATTTTCCAAAAAATATTTAATGTACTGACTCGACTCAGAATTTTATTATATCTATACTTATTATAAAAATAAGTCCCCCGGCCGCGTCTTTCTGTCCTCCTGTCTGTCCTCCTGTCTGTCTGTACGCGATAAACTCGAAAACTACTGAACGGATTTTTATACGGTTTTCAACAATAGAAAGAGTAATTCTTGAGGAAGGTTTAGGTATATAATTTATTATGCTTTTATGTAAATTAGCTGAAATACGGCGACAAATGTTGAAGAGGTCGCAAAAAATCTCGCCAAATGGGAACTTTCCACGCGAACGCCGCGTAAACTAGCAAAGATACAGTTAAGTAATGTACTAGAGAATTCAAAATCTATAAAAATGCTACAAAAAAGTCCGCGATAGCATATCTCTATCTCTTACGGTTGACTTACAATAACCACTTTTATGTTAACATTTTTAATTAAAAACATTACGTTATTTTCAAAGTTATTTTCTTTAGTTCGGTATTAATCCTTATCCAAATGAATATTTTAGTTAGCTTAGTCATTTAATGCAGATTAAAATTGCTCTTTACACTAAATCAATCAGATGAATAGTTTTTGAGATATCGTTGTTAGAAGTAATTAGTAGCGAAACATTTTTAATGCTTGGCGAGCATTGAGATGCCTACGGCGAGTCCATCCCCTCTGCCCCGCATCGCTCGACCGCCTGCTCAAGCTATATAAACCGGGCGATGTAGCGCGCGATCCTAGGATACTTTTTACCGCGGGAAAATATCTTATTTCTGAGGAAAAATACAAAAACTGCAATGTAAGAGTATACTAATATGTAACACCTAAGAATTTAGTTTTTGGTCATCTGAACGCGGGCGGAGCCGCGGGCAATGCTAGTATGTATATATAAATAGGCCAAGAACAAAAGTTCAGTACCAACCTTTTTCTCGTTTTTCATGCGTTTTTTTTAGTTATTAACGTGCTTAAGTAGTATTATTATCAGTAAAAAAGTTTTGTAAATGCAACCTACGTATTTTTCTGAAATTTTCAATGATTACGATCGAATTTCGATCTTTGATGAACACTAGTTACAATAAAACTGAAAAATTCTACATCTATAAATATACGGTCGATACCTGTACATACAAGATATATTAAAAAACTATTATTCTTTCTTGTGGTCTTTATTAACGCAATGGAATCTAAAACAATGATTTTGAGAATTTTTGCCTGGTCGTCTGTGCGTTTATGCGCTTTAATCTCAGAAACTGTTTAACCGATTTGGGTGCGGTTTTCACTAATGTATTGTGGTAAGCTTCACTTAACTTTTAGGGTGTTTTATTTCAATTGATTCATAAATAAAAAAGTTATCTCAATTTAAAGAATCACCTAGAGATATATGCGAGCGAAGGGAGGGTAAGTCCATATACTTAAATTATACAGCTTACGGCTTACATAAAAAAATACTTTTGTATCGATTTCTTGTTTCATCAAAATGTTAAGAAAAAGTTTAATCTAGAATTAGAAGTGTTCTCCTTTTAAGTCAACGTCACTTATCAAGTCATAATAAATTTAAATATGTATGTAGAGGATGTAAAATAAATAAAACACATTTTAGAATCCAAATGTATTGAATACAAAACAAATCTAATAAAATTGTCAGGTGGCAATTTTAAAATATCCTATTCAATAATAGTTCAATGGAGAAAACAGTCGCGCGAACGCGACGGACTGCCGACTATATATTACAAAAAAAACTCACGCATCTCCACCTTAACGACAAATCTAACCTAAATTACATACATAACTGACGTGTCAAGTTGAAATACATTTCCCGCCATTGCAATACAGATACAAATATCACTACAGATTATACATCCGACAAATAAATACAACATTCTGCCAGAATGTAAGAACCATAAAGTATAAATAATTCAGAAAAGATTTAAATAGTAATCAAAGTAAATGGAAAATTAAAATATTTATTATTGACACTTAGAAACTATTTCAACTTCACACACCATTGCTTATGTACAATTAAATTACTTTTTTAAACATTACATAAAATGATATTAATTTGTGTAATAATAAGTGAGTCACACGCGTTTGTGAAGTTCATAATCATTCGAAAAGAGATCAGGTGCGGCCATTAATAATTCCAGAGGAGAAGAAATTGAGAAAAATGAACAATAATATAAACAATCTATAATATAGGAACGAATTGTTTTACGTTATAGAAAATCCCTAGTGTCAAGCATGGATAAATCACTACATTTAAGGGCTATAATAATGCACAGCACTCCCTTATGAATTTAGTTATATTATGTATATTGATTATTAAAAACGTTAACTTTATCAAATTCATATTATGAAGGCTGGCAAATATAAAAAAGTTCACAGCTATTATTTTTAATCTTATTCGAATTAAAATGTAAATATTGCTTGAAGTTTTTATTTTAAGTAATATTAGATCGGTCATCGAACACGCATGTCAAACATGTCGTGCTCGTACCTTTTCCAGTCTACCAATGGCATCAGAAGCTGTCACCTTTCCCATATTTACCGTAAAGCCCGTATCTATAAATTTTCGAGTCTATTATTTAAGAAATGTCTAACTTATCTGTAGAGCGACTACTAAATATTATAGAGGAAAAATTTTACAGCACATGGGGTCCATATCCGAATTTTTAGATAACGTGTTTCGCATATATTTACATTATGCTTTAGGACGACATATATTTATATATCTAATATAAACAATAAATATTAATATTAAAATAATATAGAACTTTCGTCTTTATGGGAACGACATATATAAAAAAAACATAACAGTTTGACTGCAAGAGTTGTACCACGCCTTAGACAATGAACAAAACCACGAGTTCATATCAAATCGATACTAGAAATTTAGTGTATGTTTTATTTTAAATACGAGCACAATATAAATGAAGGTTTTTATATTGAGATAAAGTATTCAACATTTTTACATATTGTATATATTGTGCGCATGACATATACAATGGGGTACAAAACGTAAAACGTGTCATCGCGAGCGTAAGAAGCGGCACGTCACCCACATTCAAACAATACAATTAAAAATTAAGACTGTTAAACCAATAATTTTATAGAGACTGCAAAACACGTTATCTTACAATCTAATGTGTGTTTGTTTGTTTGTTTATGGTGTGTCTTTAAATGGCGTCGATGTCAACATCAATATCCCCATCCTCCTCCTGCTTGGGCTTGGACGCGGGCGCGGCCATCGCCTTGATAGGGGTCACCTTGGCGCGATCGTCGTATTCAATCTGAAAATGTGACATTTTGCTATAGTTTCTTTCTTGTTCACACATTAAAGTAAATTCTATGGCGAAACAGATAGGAGCTGGCGTTCTGCAAAATAACTTTTAGATCTTTTTGTGAAATTTGAGTTTTGCAAGTTCACTCCTCATAAATTAATCCACGACCGCGGACACGCCGGCGTGTCAGTTAACAATAGATTTCTTAGAATTTAAATTGATTTCTTAGAAATTTACCCGGAGGTCTTAAAAATAAATAATTTATACACTACACGGATATGTGATGCGATTACAGAACCTAATTAAGACAATGCATACATAGCATAATCAATTTACAAACTCCAACAAAAGGCTTTCAGAGTATATACAGTTGATATATAAATTAACAGTAAAATAATATACTGCACAACATATATATAATAACTTGCAACGTTTTTAATACACTCGCACATTGGCCTTTTAAGTTTAAACACTAGCAAATTAACCTATAAATAAAAAAAAACAAACAACGAACCTCAATATCCTCTTCACTCGCGTCATCACTCGACTCCTCCTCATCGGCCTGCTGCAACCAATCAATGAACGGCTGCGCGCGTTTCAACACATCAGCTACCACCTCCTTCGGGGCGAACTTTCTTGAAGGTTTTGCCGCCCATTCTAAAATGGTCTTTTCCTCGACTATATCCAAATCATACAGGAGTTTGAGAACTGCTGGAACACGGGGTAGAAGTGCTGGGGTGGTGGCAGCGAGGGCGGTTAGAGCGTGAAGGGCTGCTCGCGGGGCCTTGGGATCTGCTCGAGCCAAGCGTAGGAGGAGGACCCTGTGACGTTTCACGTCTGCTGCCAAGGTGGTAGCCCCGACTAGGACTTCAAAGGCCACCAATAAAGCCTTAGATTTCACTTCGAGCCGGTCGGCCTCGTGCAAGATGTCGTTGACCGCACGCGAGCCCTCCACGTCCCCTGCGTCGGAGCGTTGCTTGAGGAACGAATAAAACAAGTCCATACGTTGCTTTTCGTTCTTCTCGCTGTCCTCCGATAGTGTCATGCTCTTGGCACCTTCCGTTAGATCTGGTTAGAGTAAATTAATTGTTGATTAGATATCTGAATTTGGTAAGTTCTATTAATTGTAAATGTAATTTTTGGGATTGGTTAAAAAAACCCAAAGTAAATGGCCCTACCAATAACACTCATTATATTATTCTATATTTGCAATATGTTTGTTTATATTATGTTTAAAGCAAAATATTTTTCTTACTGATCTGCATTGCCCTCAAGTATTTTAAATAACACTATAACATAGAGGTATATATTTTCGAACTTTCTTTATGGTACGACTACGTTACCATGACTACTGTCAGATTCAGACTAGAGACTGTAGGGCAATTGAAGAAAATCGATAAATTTGTTTTATTTAAAATGTCAAATATTCGCGTAAATCTAAGTAATAAGTCATCAAGTGAACACATATTTAATGACATATTAAAATTAAAAATATAATTATTGAATAAAGCATATTACACTGTCACTGAATATTTGTTTGTAGATGTCATGTTAGAACTAATTTCTGGTTGGGTCTCACGCAGGATAAGTAGATAATTATTGTATTAAAATATTGTAAACAAATATTATTTTAAAAGAACAACTGTTGAGTTTCTCGCCGGTTCTTCTCAGCAGAACTGCCTTCCGAGCCAGTGGTAGATTCCTTACGGACTGACTACACTGACATTTAATTTTAATATGTAAAATTGACAATTTAAAAGTGCCCGTAAAAGTCTATTTGAATAAAGTATAATTTGATTTGAATGTACATATATAATATGTATATATCTGGTGGGCCACCTTGCATGCGCGCGCGCACGGCCGCCTCGCTCACGTCCACGGTCCAGTTGTCGTCGTCGCCGTCGTCGTCCGCCGCCTTCTTCTTCTCCTTCTTGCTCTTCGGGTTGGGGGTGGTGGGCGTCACGGGGACGTCGCTCTCCTGTGGGATTATTTTAAAACATATTAATTTTCATTTGGATCAAAATTTTGATATTTATCCAGATATATGTATGCTACATTTCACCCTCTATAAAAATTCTTAAAGATAAGTGATAAGAATGAGTAAAATGATAAGTAGCTTCTAAATGAAACACTACGATAGTCGCATACGGGAGTCAAAGAGAACATCCGAGTCCTGATGGAAATAAATGGAAATTAATATATTCACGTTCTAATTTTCCTTGTTAACAATTACGTTCAGCCTAAAAGGGCAGAGTGCACGTCGTGTTTGCATGCAGGCGTGCTTTACTACAACACATTCTTCGCAGTTGGCTAGTTCAGTTAGGAGGACACGTATGTGTGTATGTCCGTCCTCGTTGAGGAAGACATGAGTATGTATGTATGTATGTATAATAGAGTAGGGCTGTATGTATGTACGTACGGCCTTGGCGTCGTGCGCGTCGGCGTCGTGGTTGCCGTTGGCGGCGGGCCCGCTGCGCTTGGAGCGCTTGCCACGGTTGCCCTCCGTCAGCGACGAGCCCTGGAAACGATACATTGTTTAGTTATTATTAAGGATTAAAACTAAAATAAAGGGACTGTACATTTATAAAAAATAAGCAATGCAAAATAATTTTCAATTACAAATTTATTTACATATAGTAGTTAGTACCTGTTGAATCGTATGTAAATAGCTCCATTGCTATCATGATAATCCATTCTAATCTAATATTATAAATGTGAAACTTCTTTGAAACAGCTTTTCCTGAATGGGAAGGTATATAGCCACTAACGAATTCAAGCGTTTAAGTCCCGTAATGTAATTATTGTATAATTATGGATCGCGAAAATTTAAAAAGTTATATGGCGATCAAGTAGGTATCAGGAGGGCCGACCCCAAATAGGGAATGCAATAGAGGAGCGATGACGACGAGCATATCTATACCCCGTGGTCAGCGGCCGGGGGTAAACATATATATTTTTCTCAAATTTTCAATGATGATTACGTTCGAATTTCGAACTTTGACAAACACTATACTCTATTCACGGAGTGAACCATGCAAATTACTTACTCTGTCCCACCTTAGCATACAAACTGATAAGGACAGGAAACTGTCTAGCTCCGCTCATTATCGCTTGCAACTGGTTTGAAATCATAGGGCTAGTTCATGTTGCTAATACTTTAGTGAGGAATTATTAATAATTTGTAATAAAATAAATATATAAATAAAATTATGGACGGAGCAATGAGCGTACCTGCACGCCGTGGTCGGCGGCCGGCGGGTTCTTGAGTATGAAGGTGTTGAGCTTGTGGTTGAACTCGAGCGGGCCGTGGTAGCCGCACGCCTTGCAGCCCTGCGAGATGGTGTTGCGCTTCGTGGACACGATCAGCTCCGTCTCCGGGTTGTCGCACTCGGGGCACAACACGAACTTGCGGATGAACCTGCACATAGGGATTCCGGATTTTCCACGGTTTTATTTTGTTTTTTTGCTCACGATGCAGGCTTTGCCTGGTGTACCTTTAGATATAAAATATATTGTAAGCTGTACTTTTTTTTTTGATCCAGACGTTTCAAATGCTCTTCAGGAATTATAGACACAACTTAAAATAAGGTTTTATTTGTCTGACAGGTCATTATATAGTTGTTACAGACAGGTACTGTCCCACAAAATTATATAATGATTTCATTAACACAAAAATGGTACCAAAGTATAATTAGGAACCTCATAATATAATTAGGAACGTACCATCTTGATGTAAAAATGTAAGCGTCACACAGTGGTGACGTTAAAATTATTCTCAAGTTAATTTAATGTAGGTTAATGTAGTCAGTCCGTGATGAAGCTACTACCGGCTCGGAATGCAGTTCTCAGCAGAAGTAAGCCGACGAACATTCAAATTTTGCTTTTTATAATTTTATAAATATATTATAAAGAGAAAAGAAATATTTTTTGTATGTTTGTTTGTAGGATAAACTAAAAACCAGTACACCAATTTTAAAAATTCTTTCACCTATCAAAATCTACATTATCATCGAGTAACATACATACAAAAACTCACTGAAAATCACTTACCCATCAAGTAAATCCTGTAATTTGGCAGAATCATGGCTGCCGTTGACAATGAAGCGCTCATTCTTGAAGTCGAATTGGGTCTGAGCGCCGAGCTCGCACCCAAAGTATTTGGTTGGATCTAGTGACAAACAGATGGACCCATTAATAAAATTATAATAAAAATAATAGCAAAGTAACCTGACGTCTGGGTGACAAAAATTTACCCACTTATTCAATGATGATATATTGTAATATTTGGTACCACGAAAAATAACCATAAAAAGCCAACGATCATAACTGGCTAACATACATATCTTACTATCTATGAAAGCAGATTCTTCAATATTTTTGTATGATATAAATATAAATAAATATAAATATGTTGGGGCATTAACACAGCACCATCTAGTTCCATGGTAAGCTACGAGGCTTGTGTTATGGATACCAGATAGTTGATACACTACATATATATAACTTTAAATACATACATATTATAAATATAAACATGACTGGAGTAAAAACTTCGTGCTCATCACACAAAAGAATGCCCCCAGCGGGATTCGAACCCGCAACCGCTGGCATAGCAAGTACTATTTACTACACACTGAGCCAAACGTGTCGTCAAACGTACTAAATCACATACAAAAGATATTAAAGAATCTGCTTTTTTAAAGTCTTGTATAAAGCGAACATACGGTTAAGGTACCTATATACATAAAACCTAACTTTGTGCTAAAGCAATCTCTTTGTCGCAACAACTATAATCATCCACTCCATTTAGACTCACGCAAAATCCATTTAGTGTGCACTTGAAATTCATTTTACGAAGCGAGATGATTGAATCGAAACGATGCAAAGACGGACATTAATAGGTTTATCGCTGCAAAATGTCGTTACCTTTGAACGACAACTTTTACTACGAAAAACGAAATAAAACCGTAATAATTTAATGTTTACTTTCAAATATTTGTTTCTTTTATATATTTTATAATATTTATCTCAATGACATATTTTCATTTTAAATAGAACTACCTTTTCGGATTTTCCCGCGAATTTATTTTGTTTTTTGGTTTCCGACGTTTTGAATGCTGATGAATGTTTATTTAAAATGTTCGCGTAAATCTAAGAAAGAAAGATTTTTATGTAAAAATCACTTAATTGATTTTTGTTAAACATGGACTTTTAAGATTTATTCCTCCTTTCACATACATAGATAAAGATTGGATCGACTCGATTATTTAGAGTGAACTTTAAATCAAACGCGTGCACACATTGTACTGCAGTATTAATAATGGTAATTTAATATAATTATTTCCTTTTAACTAAAAAAAAATACACAGACCAATCGCACATTGACACAGATAATACACATAGAGTAGACAAGCCCATCAAAAATGTGATATCCCGATAGAACGAAACAAAGAATAACGGACCCCTTTCTATCTCCTTTTATTTTTAATTCTTTTTAATATTATTTTTAGAGAATTACAATGTACTATGTAATAAGTTAACCATTTGGCGACAATGGCGACACACCCTCAAGATCTAGACTAGCCTATTCTTAAAAAAAAAAAATTAAATAAAATATGTACTGCGTAACACATATAATATAATTATGTACCCGAAATGAGAAACTCTGTCGATTTCAAAGCTGATTAAAAATTAGACCTAATTTCAAAGCAATCTAAATAGTAATTTCATCATTAGGGATGGAATTTTTTAGAGGTCCACGCTTGAGACCCTAAGCAAATCAAAGTAAATCAAAATATTATATTAAAAGTAAAACATCTCTTAATATTATATAACAAACTAGCATTGCCCGCGGCTCCGCCCGCGTTCAGATAACCAAAAAACAAATTCTTAGGTTTTACATATTAGTATACTCTGATATTTCAGTTTTTGTATTTTTTTTCTCAGAAATGTGATATTTTCCTACGGTAAAAAGTATTCTATATGTTGACCCGGATAACGAGCTATCATCACACCAAATTTCACCAAAATCCCTCAAGCGGTTTTTACGTGATACGGTAACAGACAGACAGAAAAAAATTCTAAAAACTATAGATTCGGCCTCTGTATCGATAATAATGTCTATTTTAATAAGATTTTCCAAAAAATATTTTATGTACAGATTCGGCTTGGTTGCAATTTTATTACATGTATATACTAATTACTAAGGTATCAAAGGCTTGTCAAGAAGACAGTAGTATGAAAAAAATTTCAAAATGATATTTTAAACATAAATGCTCACAAAATAAACTAATAAACTCACTTAGCAATCCTTAAGTATAATTAGAAAAATATTTAATTTAGTGGTTTGTATTTGTGTTGTGTAGGTTGTGCTTGTACATAATACATACACAAAAGCCGGAGAAGAAAAAAGATTAAGAGAAAAAGAGAAAAGATCATGTATAAAACCGTAACTTACACGTAGCCGGCCTGCCGATGGCCTTGGCGACTTCAGGCATGTTCACGATGACAGTCTTGATGCCATTGCCCTTGCCCTCCACTTTGGCGCAAATCCTAGGCATCTTGTAGCGATAGAAGGCGTCCGCCACATTCCTGTTCACGTTCACGGACCCCATGGCTGCTGCGGTCACTTAATTATATACTAACTAATTATTCCAGGGGTGGTTTCTTTTTGACACTGGATCTGAAACAAACGGATTCGACTTTTTAGGACATCTTCTTTTTTGTCTTGTGTTTTAAAAATTGATGATACAATAAAATAAATAATAATAGTACAACGACAAACTCAATCTCAAAAATAAATTGTATTAAAATAAATGTTTTAACATGTTCAAATTCTCCGAAACTACATATTAATTTTACTGGTGCTAAACGATAAACTAAAACTAAGAATAAGAAAATCTAAGGTATTAACATGTTCTGACTCATTTTCTATTAATTAAAATAATTGAAAATATAAATTTCTCTAACAATAAAGCAAAATAAAATCGATCTGAAAGTGACATCCCTATATATTTTTCAGAATCCACATATTGTTTCATGTCAATTTTTTTGTCCAATGAAACTTAAGACATATATATGTAGCAGACATGCGGGTCGACATGATGAAATCTTGACGACATGATATTAGTATCTAATGATTGGGAAGAAAGCTGAGATGAAATGTGAAACATTAAAATGATCAGCGTTACAAATACAACAAGGTTCATACACGGTATATATAAAACAATGAATATTGATGTATATGGAAAGAAAGTTCAAATGCAAGATTTTTATTTCGAAATATTCAAAACCTAAACAATCATGCGACTGAATAATAAACCTCTGTCATTCCGTAAGTTTGTCAAAATTCATTCATCAACCGTTCTCCTTTTCTTATTGCTCTTAACATCAAAAAGCATGATTTACCTTTGTCGAGTTAAAAAATTACTGTCGTAAGCGGCATTTTAAAAAAAAGTCATAATCTCCAAAATACTTAAGACCAACGTCTAGACTGACTGACTCTCAGTCAGTCATCAAAACTGGAGTTTCCGTTAGGTTTAGTTGATAGGACTAGCTTTTCTGGCCAGTGTGAGTCTGACATAACGAACTATATAAGCAGATGGAATATCAATCAAAATTTACCTAGTTAAATTAGTGTAGTTAACTTGAAATGTCCATCTTTAAAAGTCGTCATGTACAAACCCCAAAGAATGTCGTGGCAAGCTAGCCGTGACACCGTGGCAAATCCTGAAGAAAACTGACAACCGAGTCAGTCAATAATGTGCAAGTCAGTCAGTCAGTCACTACTACCGTTGTATATCGAGAGATGCTCACCAGGTATAGCGTGGCGAGTGCACTCGTGGGCGTCTAGAGCATGCGGGCCCGCACCCGCGTAGCGCGCCAGTCACGTCTGCCGCAATGGCAGCAACTTCCGATGCCTGTTACTGCAAAACTTTGATCTTCTGTAACAGAACACGCCGCGGCTACTTCGCGCACGTAAATATCTAGATTCGGTCAGGACTTTCAACTAGCTCTTATATACTTTGCCTAAATATTATTACTAATGCATTTATTAGCAATGAAAGTCCTAATATAAGTGGAAGCGTAAAGACACGATACCTCTATGAATCTAAGATATTTAAGTAATTTTGCGGGAATTTAAACATGCCTTTCCATTGCGCTTCTTAATGCTCTATTACTTAAAAGTTTCAACGTTGGACCAAGTTCTCATCGTTTTATTTGCCCAATAATATCGATTCGGTCGTACCTACATGCTAAGTGCGAACGCATTACTTTCGATAAATGTTTGGTTTTTATCATACATTTCGTACAGTTATGTAAAAAGTAAAGACATGTTCACACAACCAGTATAGCATCTGACCTGCGAGCAGTATTGCTTGGTGTGTGAAGCGTCATGCACGCTCGCCGGCAGCCGGGACCCCTCGCCGCGAGACACCGACCACTCTTCTCGCACTGTACTGTTGTCTCTGCAACAATAGACAAATGCGTATTCGTATAACCTACCTTTTATATAAAACATTTGACACAACGTTAATCTCATGCAGTTTCATAATAAATTGTAATAACGTTGAAAGTATACAATACTAGCATTACCCGCGGCTCCACCCGCGTTAAGGTGACCAAAAACCAAACTCTTGGGTTTTACATATTAGTATACTCTTACATTGCAGTTTTTGTATTTTTTCTCAAAAATGAGAGATTTCCCCGCTGTAAAAAGTATCCTATATGTTGACCCGGATAACCAGCTATCACGATACCAAATTTCATCAAAATCCTTTCAGTGGTTTTTCTGTGATGCGGTAACAGACAGACAAAGATTTAAAAAACTATAGATTTGGACTCTGTATCAATAATAATGTCTATTTCAATAAGATTTACCATAAAATATTTGATGTACAGATTCAGCTTAGTTACAATTTTATTATATGTATAGAATATACGATTATGAAAATCATATTAGACGAATAGGTATAAGTAAAATTACATGAAAAAAATTCATTGAAGCCAAACTATGATCAGGTATTTTTACGGTAATAATTTTTAATAAAATGTAATACACATAAGTGAGATGTAATCGATTATTTAACCAAATGTTTGGTATATAGATTATTGTGTTTAACATTGTTATCTTTTTATCAGTTTACAATAGGAATGACGTGGGAGAGTAAAGCTGGTAAATACATTAAGCTGTCGTAAGTTATTAGCTGAAAGGAAAAAAAACTAATAATAAATTTAATATTTTTTACCATAGTTTTCTTGGAGACTGAGTACATTTTTTATTGTATCGTACAAAACTTACAATTATTTACAATGTTGACATTTTACATATCGACGATCAAAAGAAGCCAAGGTGATCCAATGATGAAATGTTATCCGTGAAGCCTATGGATACAAGGATATGTATACGTAAACGTCCGGTCGTCAGGATAAAAAATAGCATTTAAATTTTAAAGACACACACACAGTACGGGATAGTTTCGCGCGAGCACGTCCTTGTATGAGAGCTCTTTGATTGGCCAATAGACCTGTGTCTTACACACACTCTTGCATTATATGCCGTAAAATCTCATATACTTTCGGGCACAGTGTTTTATTGGAGATTTATAGCTTCCGGTTTAAAATCTACGACGCAGTCATTGTATTTGGTTATAGACCAAACGTTAGAGCCAATCAAAGGCGATTCGTCACGGATGGTAGGATATGAAAATTATTTTCTTCATGAACGTATGAAAAAATATTATTTACAGTATCGCAATAGTTAATATTTGCCTTGACATTTGTTATCGCACTTATTTATCGTTTAGGTACTTTATACATGCTCAATGCGATTAAATAAGCTTTTATTAATTCTAGTCACATTTCTGTAAACTGTGACGTTTTTAGAGCACGTGGAGAGCTGTCCATTAATAAAAAAAAAGAAGTATTTTCTTGAGCTGACCGTAACACGAGTGAGACGCTTTGAATCCGGGGTCGAGTGGCAATCTCGCCGACCAGAAACTTGATAAGATATAACATAAAAATACATGGAAAAAATTGAGCCACTTTTACTTGAAAAACTTTTATGTTAAATACATTTATGTTTTTCACTTTCAATTTTATAATTACATCAATGTTAGGATCAACATTTTTGTTAAATTACAGTCACGCGACGTTCAGCCTACCTACCTAATATTACAAAGAAGTGAACAAAAAAAATCAACGAATTACTGGAAAACTGGACACATTCGAAAGAGCCCAGTATTTGAATAAATAATAACATAATTTTTTTGTACATTAAACGATATAGACGAGTACTTTAGTAAAATCCATGTTCTTTCTCTAAATACCCATTAAAATATATTGTCCTTTGATTACGGAATTCTGCGATCTGTACTACACTGACTTATAGTATTAAAAAAAAACAAGTCACCCAACACGAATACAAAAAACGTATTATAAGGTATTCTTTAAGAACATAAAAGGATATTTTACTCTATAATAACATTGTAATATACATACAAACATTATGATATAGCACTTATATATCGTTTCACTTATGAGCGAATATATAACTACAAGACACAACATCTACTCCATGTACGCCTGTCTATAAGCGCATACTCGTATAGCTTCTAGCTACTCCATGTACGTCTCCAATTATAATAAGTCCGCAATGCGCTACGCCAGCGCCCGCGACACTGCTGCATTACAAGTTCATTCAGAATCAGAATCTTACATCATACAAGAATACTTTTTACCTAAAAAGATAAGTTATCTTACAGTTAAAAAGTAAGATTTTTTTACTTAAAAGATAGAAGTAATAATTCCACACTAAATAAACGAGTGGATTCCTTTTTGAAATTGGTATACCAATGGATTGTCATATCTCGTAATATAAAAACGTCAATCAAGAAATACCCAAAATAGTAATTTCTTGGAAAATTTAATTTTGTATATACTAATTATTTCATTTTAGCATATATTTTTTTCTAACAGACGTAGATATGAAAAAAAACCAATTGTCTCGTATACTCCGGAAATAAATTTAAAAATCTAAGCAAATTGTACAGCCTCGAAAAGTTTGTACATACGTTTCGTTGCTCAATTCTGGACTTATGGGGTAATAAAGTTGATTGATTTCGCTTCATATTTTGCAATATAGACGGCTATATTCGCAAGTATTTTATACCAGTTCAGACATTCATTTGTCATTTTTGTCATCAATAATAATATAAACGTCAAAGCAATAAAATAGAAATACCGCGAAATCCCAAACAAAAAATAAGTTCACAGATTAATAATTTATTTACGATCGAAATGTCATTACTGTCAAACACTAAATATTTATCAATTCAACCTGTCGTTGGCCTGATTTGAATGGAAAAATGCACTACTCACTACTATGTAATGTGAAACAATGCTTACAAATGTATCACATTCTTACATCGAGGCAGCACATTCATAAGTAACAATAACATTGACACAGGAAATCTTTATGCATCCGCAAGTTACAGTACTCCCACGGCGGATATGTACTACCAACACAATCAATCTCAAGACTGTTGGATAAACAAGAAAACCATTTAAATAAATATTTTAAGCCTACATTAAAATAGTAGGATGTATACTATTCGGTTTTAGACAACGTTTCTGATACTATTAGAATAAACAGTTTTAACTAAGATAGTCATAATCGAACACAATTTTATAAATTATAATCTTTAAAACATGCGAAATAAAGATTTATATTATTAAAAAAAAACTAAGCATAATTCGTAATTCTAATTTTTAGTAGTTATAATATTGAATAATATTTGCATTTGTTCAAATTACATAATAAGAAGGGTAATAGGGCACAAAGTCACTATAGAGTATCGCGATATACAATTGCCATTATTCATACATAACAAAAAGCAGCTCTAATCTACATGATAAGCGACTAAACCTTTGGATGAACTCCCTAAATAAAAGATGTAACAGGAAAAATATTCAATAAGCCATACGTAACACATTCTCGTCTTATTATTATTATTTTTATTCAAATGTCAAGTTAGAGATATATCCATCAACCCTAAATTAGTTTCCTGACAGTCATAAAAAAGTATCAATTAGCAGGCATTTATGTCATAGAAATTTGCATGCCCATCAGAACTGTTCCAAATCAAGGTGAAGACCGCATCAGGGTACCATGGCTTAATCTCCGTCGCGTTGAAATTTATTTAAAGAAATTATAAAAAATCTATTAAAATTTTCATTGCACATCTAAACATTGCATTTGATGTGATATATATATCTATATATCGCGAACACAGTGTCCTTATATGATTTCTCAGAGACGAGTAAAAAGTATCCTATATGTTGATCAAATATCATTAAAATCCCTTCAGTGGTTTTTCCGTGACGCGGGCACAGACAGACAAAAATTCTAAAAAGTACATAATATATATTCGGCCTCTGTATCGATAATAATGTCTATTTCAATAAGACTTTCTAAAAAATAAATGTACAGATTCGACTTAGGTACTTACAATTCTATTATATGTATAGATAATAATATTCTCATACTTGTAAATAACAACTATAATTGCTCTTAGTTTTATCCTTATTTTCATTATAATAAAATGATTGCAGAATGTCAGTCAACTTTGAGTATGTCAAAGAAAACGAGCTATATAAATACATGTAGATAGGGATTTATGAAGGCTGCACCCTTGCCAGTCAATCAATCAAATCGTACATGGGCGATTAAAAATTCTAAAGGGGTTAAATGCAATATTTTGGTATGCCAAAAATTTTTTCTTCATTTCTTCTTTGATAGACTCCTTACAGTCTTGTATGATTCAAGTTTCATTACTGGCGAAAGAAAAAAAATGATGCCATAGGTCCATACAAAAGGTTGCATTGTCCTTTCGGTTTATACAATTAAAACACAGAAGAAAGATATAACGCGTTTATCTAGCAAATTTATATATGTAGGTAAGCTAGATAATATTATTATTCTCAAATTAAATTGTTTATACACATCATTTATGTATGTACATAAATATTTAATGTTTAAATAGTGATAAAGGATAGTTATTATGACAACATTTAACGTTTGGTTGTAGAAAAATATCTATAACGGTTAAAATTAAAAATACTATTGCCCGATTTCACCAACAACCCATAAGCCACCACCTACGTATGGGATCCCTAGCTTAAAAGTCCCCTAAACTAGCCCCTAAATTAAATTTCGTTTTACGATCGTAAGCCCATATTTCGAGCACCTAAATTTAGGAGGCCTCTTAATATTTAGATGACCCCTAACTGTCGGTGAAACAGAAACTGTCCCCTAACAGCCCCCTAACTATGCTTAGGGGATCCCTTAAACTTAGGTGACGTTGGTGTAATCGGGCATAAATCACTTTGAAGAAAAAAAGAGAATTAATACAAAAAACTTTACTCTGTCTCTAATATTTTAATGTATTTAAGTGTATAATTTAAAAAA